AACGGGATCCCTAAAAATCCCCCAACCAGATGGTGAAGGATGTTAGGCAACCAGTCCAGTCTTCGTTCCCGAACTGCATTCACCATTGAAACAGATGGAACAGGGTCGCCCGAGCAGAGTGATAATGCCAAGGGGCTACCCTCCCTGCATCTGCCCAACTCCGCACCCCTTGTTCGATCAGTATCCCCGATCCAGTTAGCAAGTTTCCGCCAGTCGGAGATTGCAGCTCAATCTTTACCACACTGAACAGCACGGACAGCTAACCAATGCACCAAGCCGTCCGGTTTTCAAAGGACCAGTAGTTTCGTGCTCTGTGAGGGAGTCAACGGCCGCTCGATCTAGCCACTCGGTTCAGACCACCATCTGTCTTCCCTGCCCGGGTTCGCAACTCCCGACCGGCAGGACTGCAGCTCGAGATCTTCCTGGTCGTACCAAATTTCCCATCCGGCAAGTCACCGAACGGAACCTCCTCAACCCAACGATGAATCTGGACTGCTTGATGCCCATGCCTCTAGGAGGGCACAGAAGGGGCTGCCTCAAATTGAGTCCCGTTATAGAAGATGATTTGTTGAGGGACGCCAAATCTTCTAAAGATGTTCTTGAGGACAAAGTGGCGGCATCTGGCTTCGGTAATGCTGGCGAGGGGCTCAGCCTCCACCCATTCGGTGAAGTAGTCAATGGCAACGATGATGTACCTGTTGTTGGAGGTACCCCTCGGCAGAGGGCCCACAAGGTCTATGCCCCATCTAGAGAAGGGTATGGATGTGCTGATGGGGGCATAGTTGACTGCTGGCCTGCCGGGAGCCTTCTGAAAGTGTTGACAGGCAGCACACCTTCGGGCGAGATCCGCACAATCTCGGGCCATCGTAGGCCAGGAGTATCCTTGGACTATGAGCCTTCGGGACATGGAGAAGGGTCCCTGGTGAGCTGAGCAAGTGCCACTGTGCACTTCTTCCATCGCGACTTCAGCCTCATCTTGATGAAGGCACCGGAGTAGCGTGCCGTTGTAGGAGCGTTTATAGAGCCTTCCATCTTCGAGGGTATAGCTAGGAGCCCTCAATCTTGCTAGTTTGCCACGGGCTTCATCCTCGGGCAGTTGCCCTGTGCTGATCTCGCCGTGCACTCCATCACGAAGCCAGCCAGGGCTTGGCTCTTGATGGCCAGCCTCGAACGGATGTCAATGTTGTATTGGCTAAGGAAGATAACCCATTTTACCATTCAGGAGGAGCTGGTGGGGCTCCTCATGAGGGCGCCGAGGGGTTGGTGAGTGAGGACCTGGACCGGATGGGTCTGGAAGTAGTGGCCTAATTTCTTGATGGCCCAGACGATGGCTAGCACCATCTTCTCCATAGGGGAATATTTGAGCTCCGCTTCCCTGAGGGTCTTGCTAACATAGAAGATGGCATGCTGGACGCCGTCTTCCTCCCGGATGAGGACTGAGCTGATGGCCGCCGAGCTGACGCCAAGGTAAAGGTACAGAGTTTCCCCTACCTTGGGTTTGGAGAGCACATGGGGTGAAGATAAGTACCGTTTTAATTCGTCAAAGGCCTCCTGACATTCTGACGTCCATTGGAATTCGGCGGTCTTCCTCATGATCTGGAAGAAGGGGAGGGACTTCTCTGCCGATTTGGATAGGAATCGGTTGAGGGCTTCCAGGCGCCCCGTCAACCTTTGGAATTCCTTGACGTTGCGTGGAGGCTTCATGTCGATGATTGCTTGGATTTTCTCGGGATTGGCCTCGATACCCCTTCGGCTCACCATGTAGTCCAAGGAATTTGCCTCCTTGCACGCCGAAGGTGCATTTCTTCGGGTTTAGCCGAATGTTGAACTTCTGCATGATGGCGAAGATTTCCAGGAGGTCGTCGGCATGGCTCGATGATTGTTTGCTTTTGACGATCATGTCATCAACATAAGTCTCCATGGTGCACCTTAGGACGGCCTGGAAGACCCTAACCACCATCCGGGTGTAAGTGGCGCCCGAATTCTTCAGGCCGAAGGCCATGACTTGGTAGCAGAAGATGCCTTCAAGAGTCATGAAGGCTGTTTTTTCAGCGTCTTCCTCGTGCATGAAAATCTGGTGATATTCTCGGAAGGCATCGAGGAATGACATGATTTCGCATCCCGCCGTCTTGTCCACCATTTGATCAATATTTAACTGAGAGAAAGGGTCCATAGGGCATGCCTTATTGAGATTCGTTTGATGGAGAGGAGCATGACGACTTCCTTCTTCACAAAATCCCTCCTCTCGGCCGAGAGGGGCCTTCTTCTCTGTTGCACAGGTTTGGAGGAAGGGTCCACCGATAAGCGGTGGGTGATGACACTTCGGTTGATTCCGGGCATATCCTCCGGCCCCCACGCAAAAACAATGGAGTAGGCGTGAAGGGCATCCGTAATTCCGGTCTTCAAGTCTTCGGGGAGCTTGGCTCCAATCTTCACGACTCTTTCCGGATTGTCCGGATCGAGTGCGAAGTCTTCTACCTCCCCGCCCGGTTCAGCCCTCGGCCTCTTCCCTTCTTCTTCCACAGTTCCGGTGATGGTGTCAACACGGAACTCGGTTTTACTAACCTTCTTTGTTACTTGAAGGTAGCAGGCGCGGGCAAGTTTTTGATTCCCCCTCGAGTACCCGATGCCTCCTTCGGTCGGGAACTTGAGGCACAGGTGCCTCATGGAGATGATGGCCTCTAGGTCCTCGAAGGCTAGTCGGTCGAGGATGATGTTGTGGGCGCAGTCAATGTTGACGACGACGAACTCCACTTCGAGCTTAGCTCTATGGAGCCCGTCGCCAAAGAGTACCGGGAGAGTTATGACCCTCTCGGAATCAATGGTGTCTCCGGTGAAGCCGGCCAGAGGGGTCTTGATGGGCCGAAGGGACTCCCTCTCCAGGTGCAGCTCCCTAAATGTGTTGAGGTACATTACGTTGACGGAGCTACCCGTGTCAACATAAGTTCTGTGGATGATGGTGTTGTTGATTTCACTCTGGATGATGGGGGTGTCGACGTCGCCGAGGGCCAGGTTCCTGTCCTCATGAGTCTTGGATTGGGCACGAGTCGCTCTCAGCATTTTGGTAGGCGTTTTGTGTTTGGTGAAGGGGGGGGGGTTCTTACCTGATTGTTCGATCTCTCAACGAGAGCACCAAATGATTGATAGTGTACCCAGGGGGTATCTATCTGAGGGGTTACTGCGGAGAGTAACTTAGAGAGAAGTCAGAGCAAAATAAGAAAGAGAGAGAGAGTTCGAATATGTGAGTTGTGAAATTAAGTTGTGGTTTACAATGGGAAAGGGGGGGGGCTATTTATAGTAGCAATAAATGCTAGACGGGGACATGTGTCAAGCATCCGACGGCCGAGGGTTACGTCAATCGGGGTGGCACCGGTACTTGCATGTGGCTGCATTAAATGCGGCGGTTGGATGTGACGTTTGTACTTGGTACGGCGATCCAGGCGCATGTGGAGAGGAGATTCTATCGAGGAAGACGTCTTCGGCCCTAGGGTGTTGGGCCGAAGGCTCTTATACCGGGGGCCTCGTAGTGCTGAGGGCTCCATATGCCGAAGGCTACTGATTTTCATTGTTCTTCTCCCAGTAGCTTCGCATGCCTTTAATCAACTGCTTGGTGAGATTTTGGAGCCCTCGGCCATTGGCCGAAGGGGGGTCCATATGCGAACCGTGGTCCTCCTGATGTTTGGGCCGCTGTGATTTGGGCCTGTTGTGTGTCTTGGGCCTGTTGGGCCTGTATTAGAATAGTAGGAGTCTATGGGTCGGGGGTTCCCGGGCCATATACTCCATCAGCCGGTTCCTCAAGAGTGGAGAGGAACCAACGGCATAGGTATTCGTCAGATGCATTGACCATCAGCATGTTATTTTGATATCGGCTGAAATGTTCCTGGGGGTCGGTGCGGCCGTCATACGACTTCATCGTGCTTCCCCGGTATTTCTCGGGTATTGGGGCCGAGAGCACCCTAGTGGTGAAGGGGGTCTTGGTCTTGACCTGGATGATGGGGTCGCTGCGCCCCTCGGCCAGCTCCCTCTCCAGGGCACTGACCTTGTTCATGAGGGCATCGAAGCCGGGATTTCTCGACGAGTTGGCCGTAGGGGTGGCGGCCAGTTTCCTTGCTTCCTTCTGAGCGAGCCTTCTTTCAAGGTGGGCGATGATTTCGTTCCGATGGTCCTTGGCGGGCGCGGCGGCACTGGAGGCCATGTTGCAAACCGCATTGATATGGTGGCGAGTGTCCTCCTCGTGTAGCTTGCCCTTGCCTTTGTCAAGGCGGGGCCGATCCGCTGTCCGGGATACGGATCCCAAGCTCTCCCTCAGTGAGACAGGCTCACGTTCACTGATCCACTGATCCGTCCCGCCACCCTCTCTGATGCTGGCCGACGATGCGCCTCCCTCAACCTATTGAAGGCCAAAGGCTTACGCACTGGGGCCGGTCCAGCTCGGGGAGGGGAAGCAGGATTGGAGCGGGAGTCTGTGTCTTGTGCCGTGACCCCCTCATCGTTGTGTATATTCATGACCAATGGATGAGTAGGCGGCGGAGGAAAAGGGACGATGTTCCCCCCGGCATGGGCCGGGGGGCGGTACCAGAGTTCCGAAGGCTTCAGGATTCTAGGTGAGCATGTGGATGAAGGGCTCACTTGATTCTCAATCTGGTCTTTCCTTTGGGCCTCAATGTCGAGGCGAGCATCGGGAGCATTCTGTTGGAGCTGAAGGCGCAAGTCTGCAGCGGCCCGTTCTACCTCAGCGAGGGCTCCGCCTTCGGGAGCCCTATTGGAGGCCTCTAGAATGTCAACCTCATCGAGGGCCAAGTTCTTGTCCTCAAAGTTCTTGGATTGAGCTCGAGTTGTTCTTCCCATTTTGGTAGGTGTTTTCGTGTTTGGTGAAGGGGAGGGTTTTTTACTTGATAGTTCAGACCTCTTAATGAAAGCACCAAATGATGGATAGTGTACCTGATGGGTAACTTATCCGAGAGGTTATTACGGTGAATAACCTAGAGAGAAGTCAGAGCAATAAGTAAGAGAGAGTATATATTCGAATATGAATGTCATGTGTTTACAAATGGGAAATGGCTGCAATTTATAGCAGCCATAAATGCTAAATCAATAATCGAGAGGACATGTGTCCAGCATCTGACGACCGAATGTCACCTCAATCGGGGTGGCACCGACATCTGCATGTGCATCACATTAAATGCGATGGTTGGACGTGATGTTGTACTTGATGCGGTGATTCAACGCATGTGGAGAGGAGATCCTGTTGAGGAGGATGTCGTCGACTGTCCCTTTCGACTGAAGGCTTTATGTGTCGGGGGCCTCCATGTGGCCGAAGGCTCTATGTGTCGGGGGCCTCCATGTGGCTGAAGGCTCTATGTGCCGGGGGCCTCCATGGCTCCATGTGGCCGAAGGCTCTATGTGCAGGGGGCCTCCATGTGGCCGAAGGCTCTATGTGCATGGGGCCTCCATGTGTCGAAGGCTCTATCTGTCGGGGGCCTCTATGTGGCCGAAGGCTGCATGTGCCGAAGGCCAGTATTTCAAGCTTTGTTCTCCTAAGATATTTCTCTGCTTGATTTCATGAATGTTAAGCCTTTGGGCATGGGATCGAAGGCACCCCTTGCGTATTATGGGCTGACTGGAGTCTTGTTTGCTGGGCTTGGCCCACTTGAACCTATTGGACTTGATTGAAGTAGTGGAAGTATGTGGATCGGGGGTTCCTGGGCCATAGACTCTATCATGTGAATTGGGTGTGAGTCATCATTTCAGCCCGCTGTTAAAGTGACATGCATGAGCCGTCAATAGTAAACTGTTGCTATCATTTTCGAATATAGATAGAGCACTAATAGCACTTCTATTCTCATTGATTCATCTGGGATCCGCTGTTCAGTTGCTTGGTAAGAGATTAGCTTCCACAAATTGCTAAAACCCGGGCAACTATGGATCTGCTATAAATTGAATCAAAGTTACATGAAATTACTTAGTTCAATGGAATCTTAAGCAGTTGATACATTAATTTCACACCATCGATCAGATCTGAACCCAAACCAAACACCAATTCAAGATAAACTGGCCTGGAAACCAAACCCATCGAACTTCAACATCATACTGGTAGTAGTATAGCGTACCGGAGAAAGAAGGCCGGCGCAGCCGGCAGGGGAATCTATATATATATGACACACGCACTGTATAAACAAATAAAGGCAGACGGGAAAGACAATCGATTAACCGGCGTAGATGTGAACTCCGATGGCGATGAGGAGAATAGTGATGACGCCGAAGAAGATGATGGTGTGGACCACAATGGCAGCCCCGCTAGTATGCATACCCCCGAACTCAACCACCTTGTTCCTGCCCGGAATCTGGAAGAGCAGCCCCGGAGTGAGGAGCACGAAGAGCACCACCGCTATCACCACCGGCCCCCAATCCGCCATCTCGATCTCCGGAGATTTGATTTTTCACACTCTGCTCCGATCCAACTGCTCGCCGCCGGCCACTCAGCACCTACAACAACTCTGAAATACAGAAAATTATAAATAACTCTTAAATTGAATCTAATCACCGAAAGGTCTCACGTCTGTAAGGAGCAAGGAATGAAGCGAAGTGAATTTATAGCTTCGAACAAAGCATAGATTTAAAGGCAGGCGGGATAATGCTTTATGGCTGTGAAAATGTATAAAGGAGATTTTCCTAAATAGGATTAAATAAAATGATAATTGCAACAAAGAATTTAATGTTTAAATTTTCAATATAAGACTAAGGGGCTGTTTACCTATCACTTAATGAACTTAATGCATATGTTGACTTAATCGTTCAGTCATTCAGTTATGTTTACTTCTAGGGGTGGGTTCGTAGAACCGAAAACCGAATCAAATCAAATCAAACCGTGACCAAATAAACCGAATCGATGAAAAACCGAAACCGAACATAAAAAACCGTACCGAACCGAACATGTTTGATTTCAAATCGAACCGAAACCGAAAAAACCGAAAAAACCGGAATATTTATAAATATAAAAAAAATCATTTATTTTATATGGAGTATATGGCCGGTCATGTGGTCAATGCTCAAGACCGAAAGCATAAGAGGCTTTTTACGAGTCCAGTAGTCCTGTAGTACTTCATAATCTTTTAACCTAAAACGTAAGAGACTTATTTTGCTGCACTATATTCAAGTTTACTGCACTTGGGACTGCATTTTATTTTGTTGCACTATATCCAAGTTTACTGCACTTGGGACTGCATTATATTTTGCTGCACTATATCCAAGTTTACTGCACTTGGGACTGCATTTTATTTTGCTGCACTATATCCAAGTTTACTGCACTTAACTTTTAAATGTCATGTACTGATGTTTAATGCACTTTATTTGAATTGTAAGACAAGGAATGACTTTCATCATTTCAGTTTAATGCATTTGCTTTTTTCTTTTTATTTTGGGACTGCATTTTATTTTCATTTCAATTGGGACTGCATTTTATTTTGCTGCACTATTTTCAAGTTTATTGCATTTAGCTTTTAGGTGTCAAGTACTAATGTTTAGTGCACTATATTTAAATTGTAAGGCAGGGATTGACATTCTTCGATACTTAGTGTTTTATTTTCCTACACTTTGGTTATTTGCACCTCATTTCTTTTTTCAGAAAGTATGTGTCTTTTTGGTTTAAAACCGAAAAAACCGGAGTCAAACCGAACAAAACCGAACCGATTCAACCGTGGTTGGACAAAAAAGTATGAGCAAACCGAACCGAACCGAACCGAAGTTTTTAATTTGATTCTACATTTGGTTTTAGGTCAAAACCGAACCGCATAAACCGAACTCACCCCTATTTACTTGGGACTTAATAAGAAATAGTACTTATTCGCTCAAACAAAATTCGACTTAATAGTTCAGCTTCATTTTAACACTCTTTGCCGTTCAGACGGCTCTGCCTTTACTTAAAGCCTTCTTTAACCTTGTCATCTCCTTCGAATGTCATCTCCTTCGAATATTTCATCGCACACAACAACAAAGCAGAACCTGCGGAAATCGTCGACCTGAGCTGTTAAGCATTTTGCGAGCTTTCTAATTTTTAGAGCTGCTAAGCACACAACACAAATGGAGCTGCCTAATTTTTGGGATGAGATATAATTTCTTCCAAGCGCGCGACACCGTGGAGGACTCACAGTCGCAGACTCCATTCCCTCATAGCAACGGGCTATCTCTTCTATACTATTTCCTTGTACCTCGCCCATTTCACCCCTAATTTCCTTCATATCTAGATTTTCGCCTTTGTGTTTCCGAAAGCATAAGTTGTTTATTCGTGAAATTCCCCCACTTAGAGCTCCAGTCTCGTCTAGACTGCCATCGTGCACTACCTCCGACGCCACCGCCATTGATGAATCGTTAGGCGTCGATGCTCTTCAGCGCTTCATCCAACTTAATACAGGAAACTGGACTGGCTCTTTCCATGTCAGAGTGATTTTCAAAATGCATTTAGCCTGGACCATAATTAGTAGCAATCTGGCTTAAAGCAATTTATGATCTTGATACTGTTTTGGTTTGCTACATTGATTTTTGTAGCAATTTGCACCACTCGTATATATATTTCAATATAATATACTATCTACTTTGTATGTCGGGGAGGATCTACTTTTTATGTAATGTTACTCTTTTATTTATCTAATTCATAGTATTATTATTATTTTCACGCATGTAAAATTATTTATCGGTAAAAGAAAAGTAAACAGACAATATATATTCAACACTTGTTCTAGACAAGGGGGTTATTTGGTCATTTGATATCATTCAGGCTTCTCATTCAGCACACTTAGTAAACAGTTTGTTATCTCAGTATTACTTAATCCGAACAGACTGCTTAATGCAGACAGACGTCTTAATCCATTCAGGACTTAATGAAAAAAAAGTAAACAACCCCTAACTCTTCCCATGCTAGCTTTTCTCTTGTCCTTCGTAATAATATTTTTTAAATAATCATTATATAATAATACATAAAAAAATCAAAATAAAAAAATAAAAATCGTAAAAAATAAATAAAAAATATACAGACCTCAACCACCACCTCAATCACGTTCCAGCACCGCTACCTCCGGTCGCCGAAAAAGATTGCCAAATAGGGGAAAAAATGTCATCGTGATGATAGTTTTGAAAAGAAAGCTCGATATTTTCAAAGAGTAAAATTGTCATCTTTATGACATTTTTAGAAAAATGTGACATTTTTACACAACATGACATTTTGTATGGCAATCAGAGGTGGTGGTGCTGGACGGTGGAGGATGAAAAGGTAGTGGCCTACATATTTTTTAATATTTTTTTAGGTACTTTATTTTTCTAGATTTTTTAAAGTTATATTTTTTATTTTTTTAAATATTTTTTATTTTATTTTATTTTTCACGTTTTTTTATTAATTTATAAATATTTTATGATTTTTAATGTTTTTATTATAAATAAAACTATGATTTTTTGTAGTGATTAATAAATCTATTAGAATTTATAGGTTGAGGTAAGATAGGAAGAAGAGACATACATTACTTCTATTTTGTGAATAAAAGGAGTATTTGTGAAATTTTGAGCTACTTTTAGTCCCATTTGAGGTTAATAACCGAAACTATATTTGTTTTGTGCCGGTGCGCCACGTGTGAAAGCCCATCATTTACGACGCTACAACTAATTTTATATTGGCGAGTGGTATGTACCTCAGGACCTCAAATTGAAACGATTCTATATTCATTCCAATTTTTTTTTAGAATGTGTTTGAAAGCTAGGATTTTAGAGAGAGGAGAATGTATGTGAGGGTACATGACTATCTTATTTGTCTTTTGTTTAAAAAATGTGGAGAAATGATTTTGGAAGATTTTTGTCACTCTTCAAAACTTCTCAAATGTTCAATTTTTAAGTTTCTCCAAAATTAGTTTTTTTTTTTGAAGAATAACTTATTAAATGATATTGAAGCTGAATTTTAAGTGAATATCAGTTTAATTATTTGAGTTCACCATATCTCAGAAGTGATTTTAGTTATCAATCCTTCCAGACATTTGTTATCCAAATTTACTACACTAAGAAGAAGAGTTTCCTCATATTTCCCTCTTTTTCACCTCCAACAACTTACCATCAAGGAAATATCCCGAGATATGACTAAAACATATTGAGTTTTATTCATATATTTTATGACTACTCCCAAATAAGAAGAACAGTTTCCTCACGTTATCCTCTCTTTCGCCTTCAACAACTTACTTTCAAAGCATTCCCATCCCTTTCCTCCCAAACTCCCAAACATACCTTTAGGAAAATTTCTTGGGATATTACTACTCCGTAATACATATTGAGTTTGTCTAAATATGACCAGCTTTTTTAAGACATTCCTATGACAAAAAAGCAAAACATTATATTTAAATATTGAATGACAAAAATACTCTTGTTTAATATATGTGTAATTACACTGCAGTTATTGCACGACATTACTACACATTCGGTAATAATCATTGTACTTCCGTAAACATAAATTCTCTTCTCATCCACTTTAGTATTTTACTGCACTACTGGTCATAATCACTGCACTCTCCGCCGCTGTTGTAACACTCTCTATCTATTGCTTTCGAATCACTGCACAACACATTTTCTCAAATGCATTTATTCACTGTCTATGTACAACATTATATATTGTCATGCTTACTGCATGCCCTCACTCAACACTATCTATTGTCATGTTGAATGCGCCACAAACCTTATTTCAAGAAATAGAAATAGAAGAACGATAATGGATGTCGAGCGGCTGGACGCTGGAGGTGGGTGTTTAGAGGATGGAGGCAGATGACTGGACGGCAGAGATCAGCCATGGGGATGGTCAAGGCGAGAAAACATGGAGACAGTTGCATCGCATGGGGAAGGTGGCAACTGCGGGTAGCTAGGTGTGGGGGCATGGGGACGGTCGCAGCGAGTAGGCATGTGAACGGCCTCAGTGAGCATATATGGAGACGGTGGGGGTGCATGGGGACGACGTGCAGGCATGAGGATGACCACAGTGACAGGGAGGCGGGTGTCGTGGCTACGGGGGCAGCATGAGACTAAATGCGAACGATTAGTGGCATAGCTTTTGAGAAAATGAGTAAAAAGTTAGGATTTTATAATAACAATATAAGGGCATATTAGTCCAAAAATATATTAATTAATTAACTAATTAGTGATGGAGTATATGGGTCTGAGCTTCCGGACCCACATACTCGGAAGAACAGAAAGCACAAGGCACAGAGTGGCGCCCTCGTCGGCCAGGACGCCCCCGTCGGCCGAAAAGGGGCCAACTCGGATTATGGTCCTGAGTCCAAGGAACCCGGGTGCCCTCGTCGGCCGTGCCCTCGTCGGCCACGCCCTCGTCGGCCACGAAGACTTCACAGAATCGGATTTTATACTTACTCATTTGTACAACCCATTAGTGGCTTTGTATTCGGCCCAGTAGCGGTCCAGTTGTAAATGGGCCTCCCAAGCCCAAGGATTGGGAGCCCAACCCTAATTTTCTCTATAAATACTCCCCTTGGGAGTAGTTATAGGGGTTACAAATTCATTCTATTGAAGCATATTATTGCACTTCTCTCTCTAGCTCTCACTTCTCTCTAGAGATATACTCTATCATTTGGTGCTCTCGTTGAGAGCTAGAACAATCAAGTTAGCACCCTTCGTCGCTACCAAGCACAGCTAACCACTGATCATGGGGAGAACTAAGTCAAACCGCAACCTCGTCAGCAAAGCCATCCCTGAGGACCAAGAGCCCAGGGAGCACGATGAGGACGCCACGGCCGACCAGGTCGGCGGAGGGGACCTCTTCCAGGAGGCCTTCAACCTCACGACGGACCTCCGCAACCAACTCAACGGCGGAGTCCCTGATGCCCGCCTCGGTCTGGACAAGAAGCGAGCTGAGAAGACGGACCACGCCCCGGCCCAGCCTATGGCCGCGGCCTCTCCGTCCGTGGATCCACAGGTCCAGGCCGCGCTGTCGGTCATCATCGCCAGCCTAGCTCAGAACCCCACCGTCCTCAGCGCACTCTTGCCAAGGACCGGGGGGAACGTCACTCAACCTCCTCAACACCAACCGTTGGCCGTCCAGATAGGCAACGATGAGGGGGTGGTGCCCCAGGACACGGCGTCGTCCCACTCCCACCCTGCTTCTCCTCTTCGGCCCGGGCAGACCCCAGCGCGTGGAAAAGCCTCTGCCTTCAATAGGCTAGGTGACACGCGCCGTCGTCCGGTTTCGGAGAGGATGGCGGGACGAATTGGTGATCCTCGTCCTGGCTCGCCAAGGGAAAGCTTGGGGTCTGTGTCCCAGACAGCGGACCAGCCCCGCCCGGACAAGGGCAAGGGGAAGTTGCACGAGGATGACGTGCGTCACCAGATCAACGCGGCTCACAACGAGCGCCTGAGGAACCAGCCGGGTGCCGCCGCGGCCGACAGGGACCCCCGGGACGAGGTCATCGCCCAGCTGGAAAGGAGGCTGGCTCAGATGGAGGCCAAGCAGTCGGCCAACATCCCTACGGCCGGCGCCTCCAACGACCCCGGCCTCAACGCGCTCATGAACAAAGTTAGCGCCCTGGAGAGGGAGCTGGCCGAGGGGCGAGGTGACCCCATCATCCAGGTCAGGACCAGGACCCCTTTCACCAACAGGGTCCTCTCGGCCCCCATCCTTGAGAAGTACAGGGGGAACGCCATCAAGTCCTACGATGGCCGATCAGACACCCAGGAGCACTTCAGCCGTTACCAGAACAACATGCTGATGGTGAACGCATCTGACGAATACCTCTGCCGTTGGTTCCTCTCTACTCTCGAGGGGCCAGCGTATGAGTGGTTCAACGGGCTGCCAGAAGGAAGCATCGACTCATGGCAGGATCTCGCCCAACGCTTCCTCACTCACTTTGCCGGGAGGAAGCGCGCCAAGAAGTATTTCACCCACCTCCTCTCCGTCAAGCAGCAGCACGAGGAGTCCCTCCGGTCATTCATCGATCGGTGGACGAGGGAGACCGAGGAGGTCGAGTGGGCCGATGAGCGCACCCTCCTCGCCTTGTACCAGGGAGCCCTCCGCAGCTCCCCGTACGCTAGGAGCCTCATCACCGACCCCCCGAGGTCGTACGTCAAGGCGCTCCAGCGCGGAGGCTTGTATGCCGACGCCGACGAGCTCCACAATCACAAGAGAGAAGGGGGCCATCCCCCCAAGAAGACAAATCCTTCGCCGGTCCCGGGTTCGTCTGTAACACCCCGGGGCCCCACACGGACCCGAGGTAGTTACTCTAGACCTCTAGTACTGTCCCCACAAACCACCACGAGCCTTTACCACGCACTTTGTCCTCACTCATGCGCGCCCTGAGAAAGTTCCCAGGGGGGTCACCCATCCCAAGACTACTCCCGTGCAAGCACGCTTAACTTTGGAGTTCTTGGGTGATGAGCTCCCTTAAAAGGAGATGCACCTCTGTTGGTATGAGTAGTACTATTAATCCTCTTAAACTAATCTTGGGTATTACAATCACCCCCACTTAGGATCGCAACGTCCTCGTTGCGCCCTTAAACCAATCTCAATCAACCCCCAGAATCTTGCCCCGCTAAGTGACCGCCCGATATCCAACAGGTCAGCACACTGTCGCAGGGTTGCTCTGATACCACCTGTAACACCCCGGGGCCCCACACGGACCC